TCATATATATATATATATACAGTAATGTAACGGTAAGTCAACGGCATTCATAAACACGCTGAAAAGTGATTATGCGTGTTGATAGCACGCCAAAAATGGAAATACGAATTAGCGTTTCATACATACGCCATTTCATGAGATCAGTCGGAATCATAAACATTAAACAATTCATCTATAACCATATTTTGTAAAAATATAATAAATGATCAATTGATAAATAACACTGTGTGACCAAATGTTGAACCTGAACTGACATGAAATGTCAAATTTTCAGAAATGTTGTTGACACATAATTCCTGTGGACTAAATGTTTTTCAGATATTTACTTTGCAGTTTTCATGATTTATTTCCCCTCAAACTACTTAATACGGTTTATTCCAGAGCATTTTATTCTGTTAATGATTATTTTTTTGTCAATAGCCATATTCAGTGTTATTGAACACATTGCTCTTGTTTCCCGTTAAAGTTGAATAGAAATCCCTGCATAATCACCGCTAACATCTCTTGAAGCGAGTGAATAATTAATGGCGGGACTAATAGACTGGCTGGCCCCAGAACAGGCCGAGGACAGAGGGACGTCTTTAGGCTGAGTGCTTTCTCAGATGAAGTGAGTCAGTCTCCTGCACACACACACACACACACACACCAGAGGCATCGTATGGCTCGTCCTCAGTGGGACTTCATCTGAACCGCATGACGGACAGCGAGTCTCTGTTATCTCTTAAATCATGTGCGCTGTGGCTCCTCTTTTGTTGCCCATTACTACTGTCACGGGTGCAGAAGCCGAGAGAGTAGCAAACAAGAACAGTGTTTAATCTTTAAACAATGAACACAAGGAGAAAGCTTTGCAGAACAACCTCGTTCGAACTAGACGACACCGAACAATGAACAGAGGAAACTGAGGGCTTAAAGGGATAGTCACTTTGAAATTAATTTTTGATATGTTTTATCTTACCTCAAGGGCATCCAAGATGTAGATGTCTTTGTTTCCAACAGTATTTTCAATTTTGATATTTTTTGGTCAAACCGTTGTTGTCTATCAGTCATACACTGGAGGTGAAGGGGGTCCTCAATCGGTTCACCTCAAAGAGCAGCACAGAGAAGTCCAAATTAAACATGATTTAATGACTCGTACATGTAAGTACACACTGATGGCCTAAGACACGAAACGAGCGGTTTGTGTGAGAAAACCAACAGTATTTATATAATTTTACCTCTTGTAATCATAGCCATGACAAAATGATCTGACGGCATATTTATATCTAAATATGTTTAGTAAATGGTAAAACTTCCGAAATCTCAGTGTAAATATTGAGTGACGTCACACGCAAGCGATCACTTCCGGCGTAACATTGAACTGATTCAGTTCGGTTCAGTTCAACTGATTCAGATCACTGTGATTACACGAGGTAAAACGATATAAATACTGTTGGTTTTCTCACACAAACCGCTCGTTTCGTGTCTTAGGCCATCAATGTGTACTTACATTTACGAGTCATTAAATCATGTTTAATTTGGACTTCTCTGTGCTGCTCTTTGGTGGACCCCCTTAGCCTCCAGGTGTATGACTGATAGACAACAATGGTTTGACTGAAAAATGTCAAAATTGAAAATACTGTGGAAGCAAAGACACCTACATCTTGGATGCCCTTGAGGTAAGATAAAACATACCAAAAATTAATTTCAAAGTGAACTATCCCTTTAAACACACAACAAAACAAGAAACAGGTGTGCAACTTAATCAACAACCATCGAAACTACAAATGATCCGGAACACAGGCAAAACGAAACCCAAACACAATGAAAATAAACTGAATACGAGCATCATACATTTAAATGCTGTCCTTGATCAGCAAGTCTGATTCACTCTTAGAAGAAAAGGTTGTATATAGAATTCCATCATTTTATGGATTTAGTTTTAAAGTCCCCCTGTAGTCAATTATTCGATCCCTTAAAACTCATCTTTGATCACAAAAATAACACTGTTTTGTCACTGAAAAAAAAGTCTTCATGCCATAAAATATCTTGAATGTAACTCGACACCCTTGCCTCATTTAGTATGCGCGGTTCTATGAATATGCAAATGAGCCCCGCCTCCACTCACTCATTCACTCAGAGATGATCACACGTTGATCTGATTGGTTACAAGGTGGTTTGTGACGTCAGAAACACCAGCGATTTCAAAGCGTGTTTTTGAGACTGTCTTTGGTTCACTGCAGTTTTAAACGAACATGGCGACTTTTTGGGACTTTAGCTTATTCACCGTATCCCCCAGCGTTAGATCAGTCCACACACACCCTTCTCATCTCCGTGCGTGCTGTAACTCTATCTAGCCTAGCTTAGCACAAAGACTGGAAGTAAATGGCTCCAGCTAGCATACAGCTCCCAATAAGTGTTAAATAATGCCAACATTTTCCTATTTACATGATGTGATTTGTATAGTCACAGCATGTACAAATAACAAGGTCACAACACCGCAACACCTGAGATAACCGGTCACGTTCGCTACTAGTCACGTTGGTTTCGTTGACGGTGGCGTCGGTGCTTTTCAGGTGTTGCACTATATACATTTATATATCGAGAAAACCGTGATGTCATCGTCCAGCTCTGTTCTGTTCACGTATAATGCTGTCAGTGCAGGAGATCAATAATATTGTTCAATATTAAATGCATTTATTTATCATTAGAGCCTATTCCACTGTGCGTGTTTGGACGTGTGGTCTGTTAAACACACATTAGATTGTGTTGTAAAGGCAGGGGTGCAGGTGCAGACTAAACCCACGGCCGATGAGACACTTAAAACAAGCGAGTCCCGTCTGCCAACGCAGAGAAACACACACATGCATTCGTTCTCCCATGATTGATGCCGGCGGCACATCTGCAGGAGAATCAGCATTACTGATGCACACTGGGAACACCTGACTCATTTACAGCCAATAAGAGCCGGTTCTGCTGGAGGACAGAGCGCGTCTCCTCATTAGCTCAGGTGTGATCAATACTCCAGCAGAACAGATCTGTGTAAACGGCAGACTCGATGACTCGTCGTCACTGGCTATCAGATTACACTTCCTAAATTTGTTTAATGTCACCGTCCCACAGGTGGGACGTTTGCCACTATATTTTTAAAACAATAATATCTTAGTAAATACCTTAAATAATATTGACAAACTATATATCCTTTGAAAGCTTACAATCTCTAGTTTCCATATTTGGTGACTGATTTTCAAAATATATTACAGAGGAGCCATAATTTATCAATATAAAACAAGAATATTTTCATACTCGTAAGGCGTGTTCAGACCTTTATTTTAAAATAGCAGTAAACATGAAAAATCATGAAAAAATGGTAGATACCTCAGTTTGTTTTCATGCCAAAAGTTCAAAAGATAGAATCCATTCAATTATTTTGGAAAAAAAAGGTCTGAAAAGTTTAAAATATCAAGAAAAAAATAATAAATTCACCATTTGTGACGTGGCAGCTAGCTATGACTTACATGCGTGTTCTTTGTATGTGTTTCTTAGAGGTTCAATTCATATCAAAATCTGCCAAACTTCCCATGCTACTCCTGAATAGGATCTCTACTTCAGAAATTGTATGAAAATTGTGAAAATAATGGTTCATATCACTCAAAACACGAATGGAAATGCAGGCGCCCTTATATGGGCAGTAATGGAGTCTGGTTGTGCCCTAGTGAAAAAGTTTGGTACTGCGCTCAAACAAAATCTTACTGAAATCTCATTTTTTGAGATATCAACCTAAAATTTGAAACACAACTTGTTCAGATTTTTGGCTTTGATCTTTCTGCCGTTTTAGAGTAGCCCAGGATTTGAAAATATATATTTTATGTAAAAATATGAATAATTAATATTTTTACATTGTACATTTCCATAAACTCAAACTTCTATAACTTTTTTTCTGTTTCACTTTCTTAATTTATTTCACTTCTACAAAAATCTGCCAAATGTCTTCTTTAATATATAACGTGTAATCTATAACGTGTTGTCCGGGTGGACAGACGGCGCTGTTATGTCATAATTGGGGAACTTCCTCTTGGAAATTTTTATTATACATTTTTTAATATATATATAATAATATTATATACTGTATATTTACGGAGGCGTATTGCATTCACTTGAAGAAATTTTTTTTTACGAAAAATGAAAAGAAAAAAATTTTGCTCTATATTTCTGAATTAATGAGTTAATTTTTAATGGGAAAAAAAATTGCTCTGTTTTTCTGAATTAATGAGTTAGTTTTTCATGAGAAAAAAAGTTTTTGCTCTGTTTTTCTGAATTAACGAGTTAATTTTTCATGAGAAAATTTATTTTTGCCGTTTTTCTGAATTAACGAGTTAATTCAGAAAAGCAGAGCAAAAAAAAAAAAAAAATTCCATGAAAAATTAACTCGTTACTCGTTAATTCAGAAAAACAGAGCAAAAACTTTTTTCTCATGAAAAATTATCTCGTTAATTCAGAAAAACCGAGCAAAAAAAAAATTCCATGAAACATTAACTCGTTAATTCAGAAAAACAGAGCAAAATTTTTTTCTCATGAAAAATTAACTCATTAATTCAGAAAAACAGAGTACATTTTTTTTTCTTCAAGTGAATGCAATATGCCTCCGTATATATTTCTTCATACAAGTTTCGACTTGTTGACTGCAGTTTTGACTACTTTGACGGATGAATTATGACAATAAAGTTCTTTATTTTCACTGTTCATATTAGAAATCAAATAGCATTTTCCATTGTATACAGTGCCACAAATATTATATTTTCTTTGATAAGAATCCATATTTTTGGCAAATTTATTGGTGAATTCTATGAAGAAAATGCATATCAGATCATATAGAAAGACATTTGATACCAGTGTTATTTTAATATCATTGGGATACTATTATGTATTTTACAGGTGTTTGAAGCGATTTCACGATATTTAATTTCACGATTAATCGTGCAGCTTTTTAATCAAGTACCGCCGCTGTTCCTCTTGTCTTTCAGGAGCATGATGCCCAAAGCCCTCAACGGGCAAATCGTGATGGAGAAGACGCCCAGATACTTCGTCACCGCCGAGACGCCGGGCCGCATCCACGCCATGTCGCGCGACATCAAGCTAATCGTGGTGGTGCGAGACCCGATCACCCGCGCAATCTCCGACTACACCCAGATCATCTCAAAGACCCCAGACATTCCCAGCTTCGAGAGCCTGACGTTTAAGAACCGATCGGCGGGGCAGATCGACTCGCTCTGGAGCCCGCTGTACATCGGCCTGTACGCCACACACCTGGAGCGATGGCTAGCATACTTCCCGCTCGCGCAGATACACTTCGTCCACGGAGAGAGACTGATCAGCGACCCGGCGGGCGAGCTGGGTCGCGTGCAAGACTTCCTCGGACTGCAGAGGATCATCACGGATAAACACTTCTACTTCAACAAGACCAAGGGCTTCCCTTGCCTCAAAAAGCCAGAAGGCAGTAGCAAACCTCACTGTCTGGGCAAAACCAAAGGCAGAACGCATCCTAAAATCAACCCAGAGGTCATTCAGAAACTGAGGGAATTCTACCAGCCACACAACCTGAAGTTCTACCAGATGGTGGGGATGAACTTCGGATGGCAATGAACTTTTGTGGTCAATGTTGAGCAAGAAGTGCAGTGAAACACGATATCTTAGGTTTGTCGATGGCTCCGTCGCTGTCCAAGACACAGTAAACGCAGGCCTGAGCATTTCGGGTCAGAACACTGGCTCAGTTTGAGAGAACTGATAGCAATGACCTTAAATATTGGTTTAAGCAGCACTTTTCAGCTCTTGCCATTTTGCTTTCGCACTCGAGGAACCTTTTCATAGTTCCTAGAAGTATTGGCGGGAGTTCCCCCGATTTCGGCGTGTTCGCACCGCAGGAACTAGGAACGATTTTAGTTCTAGGAACTCCTTTCGGAGGAACTAATTTACTCCTACTTCAGAGTCGGTCTAAACCAGCGCTATAGGAACTATCCATGACGTTAGTGTTCGCAGATTGGCCGAATCCACGCGAAACACCGTTTTTTTTAAAAGCTGTGTAAACACACAGATTATAGCCTATATATTTACACCCGAAACTAACTCTACGAACATGTAAAACGGTGGTAGATGATCCGCTTGACCTTTACGCTGAGGAGAAAACCCAACGCAACTCTGAGGGACCGAGAGAATCATGATGATGTGTTTCTCCCCAGCAACACGACATCAACACACGCCATACGCTGATGACTTTTCACTACTGTCTACCTTCTATAATAGTTCTATCTAATAACGTACTGTTAGACAGATCATAAACTAATGAACAGGAGAATGTGAGCGCTGTGAGCTCAGGCTCTGGCGTTCAAAATAAAAGTCACAACAAGTTCCTACTGGCGCTCGAACGCAACCAGGAAAATTCCTGAATCCTAGTTCACACTACATGATTTTAAGCCCGATTTAAAGGGATAGTCACTTTGAAATTAATTTTTGGTATGTTTTATCTTACCTCAAGGGCATCCAAGATGTAGGTGTCTTTGTTTCCACAGTATTTTCAATTTTGACATTTTTCAGTCAAACCGTTGTTGTCTATCAGTCATACACTGGAGGCTAAGGGGGTCCACCAAAGAGCAGCACAGAGAAGTCCAAATTACACATGATTTAATGACTCGTAAATGTAAGTACACACTGATGGCCTAAGACACGAAACGAGCAGCTTGTGTGAGAAAACCAACAGTATTTATATCGTTTTACCTCGTGTAATCACAGTGATCTGAATCAGTTGTTCAATGTCCAACTGAACCGAACTGAATCAGTTCAATGTTACGCCGGAAGTGATCGCTTGCGTGTGACGTCACTCAATATTTACACGGAGATTTCGGAAGTTTTACCTTTTACTAAACATATTTAGATATACCGAAATCGTCTTCCATTGCGGTTTCCCGTATATCTAAATATGTTTAGTGAAAGGTAAAACTTCCGAAATCTCTGTATAAACACAGAGTGACGTCGGCGCGCAAACGATCACTTCCAGACCGAAGCGCCTGTGCCGTCAGATCATTTTGTCATGGCTATGATTACAAGAGGTAAAACGATATAAATACTGTTGGTTTTCTCACACAAACCGCTCGTTTCGTGTCTTAGGCCATCAATGTGTACTTACATGTACGAGTCATTAAATCATGTTTAATTTTGACTTCTCTGTGCTGCTCTTTGAGGTGAACCGATTGAGGACCCCCTTCACCTCCAGTGTATGACTGACAGACAACAACGGTTTGACCAAAAAATTTAAAAATTTAAAATGCTGTGGAAACAAAGACACCTACATCTTGGATCCCCTTGAGGTAAGATAAAACATATCAACAATTCATTTCAAAGTGAACTATCCCTTTAAGTCGGATTTGCAAATCGTTGAGCTCGCCGATAGGTCAGGGTGCTATCGCTTGCAAATCGCGGGGGATTAGCAGGCAATGAACGCTCGCTAAACTATTGGCGCGTGCCGTTTCGCATCATTTCCGCTTCGTTTGAACTAGGCTTAAGGGAACCATCAGTCCTCCGGGAACCGCCCTGGTGGCTCGTTCCTAGAAATACTCGGTGCGAAAGCCCCTTCTTTATCTTGCCCAGTCAAACAACAGCTTCATACCCAGACAGCAACATGGTGTCGGCCCGGATCCGGCACAGGTTGAATCCACATGTACCAGATGTGGCCTGAATCTGGGCCGTATGAAAAAGTTTAAACTGAAGTAGTGCAGTGAAACACGATATCTTAGGTTTGTCGATGGCTGTTCAAATCATGCGTCTGCCAGACACAGTAAACGCAGGCCTGAGCACTTCGGGTCAAAACACTGGCTCAGTTTGAGAGAACTGAAAGCAATGACCTTAAATATTGGTTTAAGCAGCACTTTTCAGCTCTTGCCATTTTGATGTTGCTTTTTTATGTTGCCCATGTCAAACAACACCAACACAACACCAACAATCATGTTTGATCGACAGGAACATAGTGTCGGCCCGGATCCGGCCCACATTTGGTACGCGTTCAGGGTTTGAATTTAACTCCCGCCAAATTCGGGTAAAAATGAGCTTTTGGCGGGAAATGCTCTCAAATTACAAATCACAGCATTTAATCTGGTTCATTTCTCATTTTTTCCCTTTTTCTTTTGACTAGTAGAAGTTTATTAGTCAAAAAATCTAGAAGCAAAATTGGCCAGTGAGTGAAAAGTTTAATTTGAAACCCTGTGCGCGTTGAATCCACATGTACCAGATGTGGCCCGTGTCTGGGCCGACACTATGCTGCTGTCCGGGTATCAAAGAGTCTGAATTTAAGATAAACTGTAGCATTAGACATCATTTGTCATTGTATTTACTCTTAACAGAAAGAGACATAGAAGCACACCTGTGTAAAGGCTGGTCTACAATCACATTCCATATCCAATGGCTGCGATTGGTTTCGACCGTCTGCTGTGATTGGTTCAAATGTAGACGATATGCAGATGAGGCCAGTCCTTTTGAATTTTCCCTCTGCATGCTTCATGCACTAGTCTGAAATGCAGCACATAGACAACAAATAAATGATTTTAAGTTCCTGTGTAATTGTTTTTGTTCTGTTTAATCACAAAAATTGGATTCGTTTTAATGCAAAAATAATATATTTCTTTACCATTTGTCTATGATTCTTTGTTGATATACGGTATCTTACATAAAATGACTTGTATCATGACAAGAAAACACCTTCATTGTGCTATTACTAGCTCAAATTTATTTCCAGAACAGCAAAAGATAAAGAACTGTTCAAAAAAAGTCTTTCTGCTCACCAAAGCTGCATTTATTTAAACGAAAAAAATAGTAAAATAGTGAAATATTATTCCAATGTAAAACAGCTGTTTTTTTCTATGTGAAAGTGTAATTTATTCATGTGATCCTTCAGAAATCACTCTAATCTCTCTCTCTCTCTCTCACACACACACACACACACACACACACACTCTTCACCATAGGCCTGTAGGTGGACTGTACTTGATAGTTTAATCAAACAGTAGCTAAACTAATGAGTTGGACACAAATAATAATAAATTCAACTCCAGACTAACGTTTTACTCACCGTTAATGCTCTTCTGGTGTGGTTCCTTTCCGACCTTGAGGAGCGATATGTATTTTTTTATTTTTCTTTCATCCTGAAAACAGATTCAACCGATTTACTAACAAGCCGGGAAATTCAAATTAGCGCGGCATTTCACATTGTCCAATGACATTTAAGCCTGCTTGCTGTCCCACATCACGATTGGTTAGTGCTGCGTTCACGTGACAAATCGATTACTACTAGTTATGTAATATTTTAAAATATACAATAGATAATATCAGATAAAAAATAAGGAGGGGGATTCGAGTGATTTGTTACTGCACACGTCAAATTAATCATAATTCAAACGCGTTTTGCTTTATTAACCACTGTTTTATTATTATTGATGGGGCAGTTTTGATTAAGTTGATCAAATTTAGATGAAACTGCCGCACTGACTTTCATAAACCCATTGTCCTCTATCAGTGCTTTATAATGTGAGTGTGTGTTCAGAACGTGTTGGTCTGCAGCGCCACCCTCTGGCGAAAGTGTTTCTATGCAGAAAATAAACTGATCATTTCAGGTTATAAATGTTCTTTTTTATTATAATGCATTGGTCATTGTAGTTATTACTCTATGCCTGGCAGCTTTTGTAAAAGACCTCATTCAATATACTGTACATTTCATCAACATAAAGTCAAAGGAAACCAATGAAGTAAAAATAACCAATACAGCAATTATTTACCAAATATTAAATTAAACATAAACAATCTGACATGCGTTTAATTTAACACCATTAGCCTACAATACAGTACAGTATGCTGCTTGTGCATTACTGTAAAAAAGTGTGTGTGTCATTCATTATTGCACATTAAATGTAAACAGTTTTTGGCAGTGCAAAGACTCAGTTCATAAAGAGGTGCATTATTTATTCTAAAGGCTTTAAATGAGGTTAAATGTACAGATTCAAGTAACGTGAGCACATGGATCATGTTTCCCAGAACTCTTTCTACTTTTATCCCACACATCTGTGAGTTTATCTAGAATTCGACCAATTTCTTTCCTCTTCACAGTGACATATATACATTCGACCGAATGCAGAATGATTAATGCAACTTCTGTAATAAAAACAAAATAATTCTCTTGATTTTTCATTTAACAATATAAAGCTAAACAAAATGGTAATCCTTACATAATTTGATTAGCATTGAGATTATTATAAATCTGTTGCGGATCAAACTGGCTGTATAAAATAAACATTTCCAGGACTTTAGCATGCTACGGTTAAAGAACAGGGATCAATCGCACACACAAAGGCACTCAGCAATGTGATTCGTGTCTCGTTAGAACAGACACACGCCCTCGGGATCGATCCGGTAATGAGGACTTCTTAATAACAGCAGAGAATCTACAGCAGTCATTCCTCAACGTGGCAGAAAACAGCAACTAATCGTGTTTCCGTCTCGTTTTACAGCACAAACACCTAAATACAGTACATTTACTGGAGACGAAGCAACATTACTAAAGATATAAAGGCTTGTTTTATGAAAAAATTATTTGTTTGTGCTTAAAACAAGAAGAAACGTGACAATGGAGTCAGAAAAATCTACTTCATTTAAAGGGAAAACAATTTTTTTTTCTTATTTTAAGCATAAACTCAGTTTATTTTGAAACAATTTTAAGCAAACAAAATGTAATATCTTCAGTTATTTTGCTTCTCCAGTAAATGTATCTTGATATTTATTTATATAGCGCTTTTTACAATACAGATGGTTTCGAAGCAGCTTTACAGAGATAATAGGAAAATAACGCAACAAATACTGAAGAATTTAATTTTTTTGCAAAGTATGCATGTTTTTAACGCAAGTTCAGTGGTTCGTTTAAAACAATTGTCTTATGTCACATGTGCTCTAAGATTGAGGAAAATACTTAATTTTTCCCAGTTCTGGTTCCAGTATATGTTTTACATATCAGCACATTAATAACAAACTAAAACTCACAGCATCAGCTTCAAACAACAGCACAACAGAGCACATCGAACGAGGCGTCGTGACTCGGACCGGATCACACTAGAGTTCTGCTGCCCGGTTTCGGTTCTGGTTTGGGTGAATGTTTAATGAATAGCCTCGGGTTCAGGTTTGTAACTAAGAAAAACTAGGCTATAGCTACACATATACATAGTTTGTATCTGTGTTGTTTTGTAAAAGTTTAGAATTTAAAGTTTTGTAAAATGATATACCAGTATGAATCATCAACCATCAACTGTCGATGTCCTTTATAACTCGTACTGAGAAGGATATATTTGTGTAAATAGTTGTGCAACTGCACAAACTTTTTTTAGAGGTTTAATGAGTTTAAGTTTCAGAGGAATATGTGACTGTTACACCTGTTTAAACACAGCAAAGTTTCATAATTGGTGGTCTGTGCCTTTTCTCTTTCTTTTCCTCTTGTGTACTGAGGGGGGCGCTGTGCCTCATTGAAACTGTGTTTGTACATGTATTGCATCCACAGGGTGATTTTTTTTTACGGTAAGAAGCGGACCTTGAGAGTCAGGCTGAGTTTGGGTTAAAATGTAACCGTAATGGTCAGGTCGGGTCGGGTTAAATGATTTCTGGTTCAGTTTAAAGCCCGGGCAGACCTCTAGGTCCCAGTTCTCAGCAGAACTCCTCACCCTGACTTGGATGTGGTCCCAGTCCTCAGTAGATTGAGGAAAATCCTTCATTTATCCCAGTTCTGGTTCCAGTATATGTTTAACATATCAGCACATCAATAACAAACTAAATCTAAAAGCATCAGCATCAAACGACAGCACAACACAGCACATTGAACGAGACGTTGTGAGACTTTGTGTCTCGGACCGGGTCCCAGTCCTCAGCAGAACTCCTCTCCCAGTGGAGTCGTGTCTCGAATCGGGTCCCAGTCCTCAGCAGAACTCCTCTCCCAGTGGAGTCGTGTCTCGAATCGGGTCCCAGTCCTCAGCAGAACTCCTCTCCCTGTTGAGTCGTGATTCGGACCGGGTCCCAGTCCTCAGCAGAACTCCTCTCCCTGTTGAGTCGTGATTCGGACCGGGTCCCAGTCCTCAGCAGAACTCCTCTCCCTGTTGAGTCGTGATTCGGACCGGGTCCCAGTCCTCAGCAGAACTCCTCTCCCTGTGGAGTCGTGTCTCGGACCGGGTCCCAGTCCTCAGCAGAACTCCTCTCCCTGTTGAGTCGTGATTCGGACCGGGTCCCAGTCCTCAGCAGAACTCCTCTCCCTGTTGAGTCGTGATTCGGACCGGGTCCCAGTCCTCAGCAGAACTCCTCTCCCTGTTGAGTCGTGATTCGGACCGGGTCCCAGTCCTCAGCAGAACTCCTCTCCCTGTGGAGTCGTGTCTCGGACCGGGTCTCAGTCCTCAGCAGAACTCCTCTCCCTGTGGAGTCGTGTCTCGGACCGGGTCTCAGTCCTCAGCAGAACTCCTCTCCCTGTGGAGTCGTGTCTCGGACCGGGTCTCAGTCCTCAGCAGAACTCCTCTCCCTGTGGAGTCGTGTCTCGGACCGGGTCTCAGTCCTCAGCTGAACTCCTCTCCCTGTTGAGTTGCGTCTCGGACCGGGTCTCAGTCCTCAGCAGAACTCCTCTCCCTGTTGAGTTGCGTCTCGGACCGGGTCTCAGTCCTCAGCAGAACTCCTCTCCCAGTGGAGTCATGTCTCGGATCGGGTCCCAGTCCTCAGCAAAACTCCTTTCCCTGTTGAGTTGCGTCTCGGACCGGGTCCCAGTCCTCAGCAGAACTCCTCTCCCTGTGGAGTCGTGTCTCGGACCGGGTCTCAGTCCTCAGCAGAACTCCTCTCCCTGTTGAGTCGTGATTCGGACCGGGTCCCAGTCCTCAGCAGAACTCCTCTCCCTGTTGAGTCGTGATTCGGACCGGGTCCCAGTCCTCAGCAGAACTCCTCTCCCTGTGGAGTCGTGTCTCGGACCGAGTCTCAGTCCTCAGCAGAACTCCTCTCCCTGTGGAGTCGTGTCTCGGACCGAGTCTCAGTCCTCAGCAGAACTCCTCTCCCTGTGGAGTCGTGTCTCGGACCGGGTCTCAGTCCTCAGCAGAACTCCTCTCCCTGTGGAGTCGTGTCTCGGACCGGGTCTCAGTCCTCAGCTGAACTCCTCTCCCTGTTGAGTTGCGTCTCGGACCGGGTCTCAGTCCTCAGCAGAACTCCTCTCCCTGTGGAGTCGTGTCTCGGACCGAGTCTCAGTCCTCAGCAGAACTCCTCTCCCTGTGGAGTCGTGTCTCGGACCGAGTCTCAGTCCTCAGCAGAACTCCTCTCCCTGTGGAGTCGTGTCTCGGACCGGGTCTCAGTCCTCAGCAGAACTCCTCTCCCTGTGGAGTCGTGTCTCGGACCGGGTCTCAGTCCTCAGCTGAACTCCTCTCCCTGTTGAGTTGCGTCTCGGACCGGGTCTCAGTCCTCAGCAGAACTCCTCTCCCTGTGGAGTCGTGCCTTGGACCGGGTCCCAGTCCTCAGCAAAACTCCTTTCCCTGTTGAGTTGTGTCTCGGACCGGGTCTCAGTCCTCAGCAGAACTCCTCTCCCAGTGGAGTCATGTCTCGGATCGGGTCCCAGTCCTCAGCAAAACTCCTTTCCCTGTTGAGTTGCGTCTCGGACCGGGTCCCAGTCCTAGGCAGAACTCCTCTGGGAGTCATGTTTCAGACTGAGTCAGAGTCCTCAGCAGAATTCCTCTCCCAGTGGAATTGTGACTTGGACTGTGTCCCAGTCCTCAGCAGAACTCCTCTCCCTGAGGAGCCGGCAGCTGGTTCAGGTCCAGAAACAGGGAGTTGTCGGAGAGCTTGCGTCCAGAGCCAGACAGGTCCAGAAACTCCTCGCCGGAGCTGCTGGGAACGGAGCTGATGTACATGTCCCACACCTGTTCTGGAGAGTCCAGGTCCAGTAGCTTCTGCTTGATCTTCAGGTTCTTCTCCATGTTCTTTCGCTTGTGTTTGAACTCCAGTATAGTTTTAGTGTATCTGTTGATGGTGGTGACGGAGGAGGCCATGCAGGCGGTGAACGAGCTCCATGCCAGACTGAAGAAAACACAATCCAAAGAAATTAGAATCAACATTTGAATTCAACTTAATGTCCTATGACCCAAATACTGTGTGTTTAATAAGTATTTACTTATTTAAATTTAATATTTTTTGGTCAAGTTAATCAATATACTGTATATATATATATATATATATATATATATATATATACATAAGTGTCATATCACTTACCTTTTCCATGGAACTCGCACTGCGTCGATGACGTCACTATGGGGAACGTCTCTTTAGCGTAGCGTGTCTAATGCATGAATCCAATCCTATTGGTGTTGCGTGATGACGTAGCGTGTGACGGCATACAAGAAAGCTACAAAGGGACACCGGCACACAACAGCGTTAGCTTTCGCTCTGTTATGTGATTGACTGTTTGGTGTTGTCTGTGATATATATATAAATATATATATATATATATATATATATATATAATATTGTGAAATGGCAAGTGAGCAGTTCAGGAAGTGTGTGCATCCCTACCCTCGCTTTATCACAGGTGGGGATACACATGAGTTGTGTATGTACTGCTCCCGCCTGGCTCGTGCAGAAGGGATTGAGACTTCGGCACTTTCTTGGCCCTCATCAGATCCCTTCACTCCCTGTGCGGAAGCCCCCCTGCAGATTCTTCCACTCGGGTTGAGAGCCCGGTGCTGCAGCTGTTTGATTCAGATGTGGACGTGCTCAGCATCGGGGTGGGGGATCTGGATGAGTCACACATGCCATTTCACTCTGCACCCGTGTATGAACTCGTGGAGGTTGTGACGCATGCTGTGGCCAAATCAAACATCCGTTGTCACCAAGAGAGGCAGGAAGCGCAGGCTAGAAGCAGGCTTGATGAGCGCTTTCTGCAGTATTGATCACAGCCTTCATGCCGGGGTTTGCCGTTTCCATACACACACGATGAGTTGTGTAAGTCTTGGAACAGGCCATTTTCCCTGTGCATGTCCCCCTAATCCCCCGGTGTGGTATTATAGCAACATCGTGGGGGTTCAGGAGAACAGTTATGGACTTTGCGTCATTCCTTAAAGCCCCGGCACTGCCAAAAAAAAAAGACCACAGAATTCAAGCAATATCTCCCTCTCCATTCAAGGTCCAAAAAGGCTGCCACCAGGGGTCAGCCTCAGCCGTCATTGAGCTCCTCATACCGACAGGGCCAAAAGGAGAGTGGCGCTTCTAGAGGTCCCCCTAAAAGAGCTTGGGACTCTAGGCGGCGTTCTCACCCACAGCCTCGGCGGATCGGAGGACCGTCCTTCAGGCCAGGAAGGCAAAGGGAAAAAGGGTCCTAACTCATGTGAGACCTCTGAGGGCCGGCCCCCCCGGGACGCATTGGTTTCCAGTGAACGCACGCTGCTCTGTCAGCCCCACAGGCTTGCGGCCAGGCAGCGCTCCAAGAGTCATTTTCGATTATTCCTAGCCAGTCCTTGTCTTCAGAGTATCATGAAGGGCTCTCACAAAACAATCAACACCAGCCCTGAACATTTAATGGGGTGGTCTGGACTGCAGTAGACCCAGAGCAGGGTCAGGTGTTAGAACAAGAAGTTCACTCGCTGCTGGTAAAAGGGGTAAAGAACATGTTTCTCCACCAGACAGGGAGTCCGGGTTCTACAGCCGGTACTTCATAGGTCCAAAGAAGGATAAAGGGTTGCATCCAATTTTAGATCCAAGACATCTGAATCGGTCTCTTAGGGGATTCATGTTCAAGATGGTCACCATTGTTATTATCAGATCCGAGGACTGGTTTGTCACGATAGATCTAAAGGATGCATTCTTCCATGTCTCCATCCTTCCATCTCACAGGCAGTTTCTGAGGTTCGCTTTCGGGGCGAAGCGTACCAATATCGGGTTCTTCTGTTCAGCCTAGCATTCTCCCCTCGCACCTTCACCAAGTGCAAGGATGCAGCTCTAGCTCCACTAAGGCTCCCGAGCATCAGTGTACTAAATTATATCTACGACTGGCTCATTTTGGCCTCGTTTTTAGGAATGGCAGTTCAGCATCGGCATTTGGCCTGCTGCACATGAGAGCCACTGAGAGGAAATCCGTTTCTCATGAGAAGGGTTATGTGCAGATGCCTTCGTTCCCTATGAATGTGGAAGAAACCTTGGTTTCTGTCCCAAGGTCCTTTGCTGGGAGTGCCATGTCGCCGGAAAGCCATTTAGACAGACGCATCCCTCATATCCCAGCGGACCAGAATCGTTGGGGCCGGGGTGGAGTCGATTTGCGAGACCCAGTTAACTGCCCAGTGGCTTCAGTTCCTAGAAGACTGTTCTCGGCTGGTCTTACCCCGTCCACACACAAAGTGGATGTGGCTGCCATTGCAGCCTTTCACGCTCCTCTGGGTGATGGGCCTCTGGGGAGACATCAGCTGGTTGTACGTTTCCTCCGTGGGGCTTGGAGGATGAGACCTGTGGCTTGTACCGGGATTCCCACGTGGGACCTGGCAGTGGTTCTTGAAGGGCTGGTCAAAGCCCCCTTCGAACCTCTGGAGTTGGCTGAGGCCAAGATCCTGTCACTTAAGGTGGTCTTTCTCCTTGCCATTACCTCTTTTAAGAGGGTAGGAGATCTCCAGGCACTCTCCATATCTCCGCAGTGCCTGGAGCTTGCTCTAGAGCCCTCCTTTCAGGAGCACCTATTCATGAGATATGTGAGGTGTCACTCCGCACATATTCATGAGATTTTATAGTCTGAACCTCGCCTCTACACCCGGCGCACGAGGGCTCTCGTCCTAGTTGTGCCTGAGACGGCTTCACACTGGGACAGGCAGAGCTCGTTGTGACATAGGGGGTACTCCTTTCCCATAGTGTCGTTATTGACGCGGTGCGATGGAAATGGAACGTCTCGGGTTATGACTGTAACCCTTGTTCCCTGAGAAGGGAACTCGTACTGCGTCGATGACGACACTATGTGGAACGAGTACGCTCTATGCCACAATGAAACCTGCTTCATCGTGAAGCTAACACTGTTGAGTCCCTTTGTAGCTTCCGTGTATGCCGTCACATGTTACGTCGTCAGTTTCATTCATGCTTCAGACGTGTTATGCAAAGAGGCATTCCCCATAGTGTCATCGACACAGAGTCTCGTTTCCTTCTCAGGGAACAAGGGTTAAATTCATATCCCGAGATGTTTATCGATTGCAGTCAAAGACACTGTACGCATGTATAGCTTCCCTAAACATGAGTGAACGTACATGTAAGACCAGCTGTAGTCCCAGTTCTGTGGTTTCCAGTCCTCAGGGCCGAGACTCACGGTCAGCTGGAACGCTGTGGTGAACATCATGTGAGCCACCATACCCAGAAGACCTGAAGATCAGAGAAACACACTTACAGTTACAGACTCGCTCACACACACATACACACTGAACTCTGTGGTGAACATCATGTGAGCCACCATAGCCAGAAGACCTGAAGATCAGAGAAACACACTTACAGTTACAGACTCGCTCACACACACATACACACTGAACGCTGTGGTGAACATCATGTGAGCCACCATAGCCAGAAGACCTGAAGATCAGAGAAACACACTTATAGGGCTCAATCTTGCACCCGGCGCAAATGACTTTATTCACTGACGCATTTATCATTCCTATTTTGCACTCGCGCAAAGCGGGATTTTTCCCTCCACAGACGCACGTCGGTAAACTAGGAAATGAACTTGCGCTCCCCGGGCGGGTCGGCGCAAAAAGGAGGCGTGTGTCAGCGCAAACAATCCCTAGTGCTATTTTACAGTTCCAGAAAACTATTGCGCCACTGACCAGAAAAAACACCGGTCTAAAGTCAGCGGCGCGTTGCGCGTACATTCAGGTGCTATTTTAAGCGTACATGCTAGGCCATAATACAGAGTGTGAACAACCCGCATACACTGTAGACGATTCTCTCAGCTACACAGATGCATTTTACTTTTTGCAAATGATACATTATTATAAGGAAAAATATATAAACATGAGGGAAATTATTGTTGTGTTCATGACAATGGGAAAAATAGGCATAAAGCTTACACATTTACCCAAATTATCATGTGCATGTTTAACGGAAGCTAATTTGGGTGGGTTTGTCCCATCCCAAATGCCACTTCTCTTTCTTTTACGGCCCTGGCGAGAACATCGATCTCCTCGGCTGTGAACCAATTCGGAAAGTGCATGGTAAATGCGCCATTACAATAGTATTGAGCCGTGGAATAAGCGCACCGCGTTCATCACGCTCTTAAAGGGAATGTGAGATGACGCTCTTATTGGTTTGTTTCCCGTTATGCCCAAACTACACCTATGAATAACGAAGCTACTCCAGACCAACCCCTTTTAGATTTGTGCCAGGCGCAAGAGGCATTTATCCCGCCGGGAAAATAGCAACAGCTCCGGGATCCGCCCACAAAGTTACTTGCGCTTTACGCTTTGACACTTGCGTTTCAGATCGTTAAAATAGGGCCCATAGTCACAGACTCGCTCTCTCTCTCTCTCTCACACACACACACACACACACTAGGGATGGGCGATACCACTTTATTTTCGATACGATATTGAAACTTTCAAGGCCAGTGTTGCCGATACCGATACGATACCTCTAAACTGAACTTTTACATTGTTTTATTTCTTAAATTATTGAATTGCTAAGAGTAAAATGGATAATGATACCTAATTAACATTGTATTTAAAAGGCATTTTAAAGGTGCCATCTGTAAAAATTGAGGTTAAAATATGCAAAAAAATGAGCTACACGCATCGAAAGAATGAGAAGAAATAAGGTTGATGATGACAAACTGACAAGTTATAGTGCTGCCGAGATATTAACCTGAATTAGCATGCTAAATTACTAGCCCCGGCCCAGGAGGTGTCGTAATACCAGTTTCGGCCATGGGAGGCGGTACGCGGACGGGCAACATTACCATCAGCCAAACTGCAGTACACGAGTAACTCGCACGGCTTGTGTGTACTTGAACCTGATGTCAGTCGTGTGGAAATACAGCCCACTACTACATTTCAGTTCAGGGAAGAGTTCGAAAAATGATTGGTCGATATTATACATGAGGAATACATTTTGGTAAATTGTAGCATACTGTATCTTTCAACAGTGTTTGTGTTCTTTTACCATTAGCTAGTAGAGATGATCGGTTCACGTGCGCTAGGGATCTGTGGTGTAACATGTACAAGCGCCAAAACGGTATTTATTGTTTGAATTGCGTAATAAAATTGACAGAATCTGAGAGCTGAGATTTTTTCATATATATATCATAACTAACTTGCTATGTCTAGTCCGTCGGTCTCCATGTCTCCAAGACAAACTCGATGTGTGGAATGAGAGTGTGGGGAAAGTGTCAATTTTGTGTCTCACGGTGAATTGGTGAGAGTTGGCAGCTCTGAATGGCGCTAGCTTGGTCAACATCAGCGAATGCTGTCTGTCAAATTAATTCAAACTAACAAAAAAAAATGTAATATGAACAAAACGAATACTGTAAAACTTCAAATAATAGCCTGTGCTTTTATTTGTATTTGAGACAGGCGTCTATGAGACGGTCTTCATCATTTAGTGTTGAGATGTTGTTCATTGAGTCTCTACAAATGTCCAAATGCTCCACGTGAAACTGCGGTCTTCCAACCTTTTACTATCGTGTCTAATGATTTGATTAATATGTGCGAGGGAGAGAGAGCTCCTGTTGTTTTAGTCCTTTAACTGGTTGTTGTTTACACAACACAACACTGTTCCCACCCTATAAAAACAGATTTATAGCTTTTTTGTGTGTGTGATTAAGGAAGTGGTTATAATCGATATGCCCATCCCTAACACACACACACACAGATGGCAAACTGGACATAATCGACACAACTCAGGACAATCACACAGAAACATGGAGGTTAAACTGCACATTATTTACAGCTCAGAGTCTCTGCTAATCTACTGAACATCAGAGAATCACTGAAGGAGATCAGAGACGTTTCAGCTCTTATAGTATCATCATGTCCATCTAAACCCCATCACGCGTTGGAAACGAGATCATCTGACCCATAACCCTCATGTTTCCATGACAACCACAGTGAGCCGCCTGCATGCTGACATCATCACAAACACACAAGTGAATAATAATAATAATAATAAAGCGCTTGTTAACTGCATTATTTGATGGATCAGTAAAACCCCAGGACAGTCCTGATCGGCTCGTGTTTCAGCACGAATGATTGGTTCCCTCAGCATGAATATATAATGCGCTAAAACACAAAAGAGGTTCTCAAGAGACTCTCAGGTGTCGAATGTCAGCGGCGCTTCTGGATATTCAGAGCCGACACACTGCGTCCAGTATAATACTGTAGAAGACTTACAGTAAAACTACTGCTAACACGTCAAGTTGTTTAATTGGAAAGTAATTTAATTAATGAACAATAATTCCTCTAATTAAATAATGAAAAGGAAAAATATAAATCATTAATACAAACAGTTGATTTTTTTTTTAACTGCAACAATATTTTTAAAGTGCAATTTCAAACTCTTATAATAAAAAATGCCAGGCATGTGGCTGACGAGATATAGATTTGAACAAATCATAACTATGACCATACTAATGCGATTAGCCATTGAAGACATAATCGATAACTAATTGTCTCTGGAAATATTTTATATTTGATCATTTATAAATCCGTGTATTATGGATTATGAACATGTGCATTGAAAAAGCAAATGCATAACTTATAAGTCATTATAAAAATAATATAAATATGACTACAACTGTTCTTATAATGCAGTTTAAGTCTTAATGAGTCTTTATAAATATATTTCTAGAATGGTTACTTGTAAATATGTATAAATGGGGCTAAGCGTGGGCTTCATGGAACTACTTTTACTGCACATTTGTTCCTCAAGAGAAAGAGAGTCGTGCCGAACTATTTCTTTAACTTTAGGAACATGTTGTGTATTAAAGTACTTCAGTGTTTTGTTGACGTGTTATTAGATTCACAACACATAATTAGCTATGCGACTCATTAAACTGAAACTTCTCATCATGCTTGAACGCATCTCTTCTGCTGATTGTGTCAGAGGAAGACAGGAGCTAATTGAGGTTGGAGCTCCCCCTTCCCATGATGCACTGCTTCCATGATCCCGCTCTCTCCAAGACGTCAGGCTCGGCAGAGACGCGACAGGAAGTCAGAAGTTCATCTCTCATTATGCAATATTAAAACTCACAAACTCACTTGCTGAGTTTGAGTGTTTCACACACATTCAGGATCGTACACGCCTTGTTTTTCATTTTTACATTTTTTTAAACCATGTGTGTATTTCATTTATGATTTTGGAGGTGTTCATTTTAATGTTTGGTATAAATCAAAAAGTGTCCAAAAGGTAAAATATGAAATTAATTATAATAACATTACATATTTTCAGTTTTACATTATTATTACTTTGACTACATAATATAATATGTCAAAATGATAAAATATTTCCTTTATTATTATTATTATTATTATTAATAGTAGTAGTTGTTGTTGTATCATTAATAATAATAGTAATATTCCATCCTTTATTAAAGTTGAGATTTTAGCAGTTTGGCTATTCATATTCTTCATAATATAATATAATATAACAAAATATAATATATATAATATAATATAATATAATATAATATAATATAATATAACAAAATATAATATAATATAATTAATATAGTATAATATAATATAATATAATTAATATAATATAATATAATATAATATAATATAATATAATATAATATAATATAATATAATATAATATAATAGTCAAAATTATAATATCTTACCTTTAGTATTATTATTAGAAGTGGTGGTGGTGGTGGTATTAATAATATAATAATAATAATATTTAAAGGTGAGATATTTAGATATTTAGTTTGACTATTCATATAAATTATAATGAATATAATATATATATATAATATATATATAATATAATATAAAATGTAATCAAATATATGTAATGTAATATAATATAAAAATGATAATATCTTACCATTATTATTATGTCATCTCTTTATATTGTATTATTATATTATATTTTTAAATTGTATTATATTAATAACATTACTATTGGTTGTACAGTGCAACTCCCTCTCAATATAATGGGCTTGCATCCTCAATGCTCCACTAAAATATGTATATATTTATAAATAAGTAGGACAGGATTTAAGGACATATGTTGCCATAAGCCCTTAAATTGTGAAACTGTCAAAAATATCCTGGACGACATTCAGGAGTTCTGGCTTCCCGATACTGGGAGCTTATCTGGGATTCTGAGCCGGATGGTTTATGTGTGTGTCTGGGGAAAGGCAGGGCTCTGAAAAACACATAAATGCAAAAGCATTCACTACAAAAGACGAGCAGAGGGTAAATCCCCCAGTAATTGCATCTCTGCTGCTGTTTCCATCCATTTTGGGATATTGCATTAAAAACACTAGATGTAAAGAGCAATAAATGAGCATAAAAACATATGCACTCAATTGAGGCGGATAATTGTTTTATTCGATTAGACATGCATATAAACTGATGGAAACATGTTTACTGAATAAATCTCTCGATGCGTAACTTATAACTGGAGTAACCAGCGGACCAATGGCGTCGCAGCGTCTCTAATGTTGGTTTGGTGTTTCTGAAACGCCAGAGTCGAAGTGTGTGATTATGATTGGGTGTAATTCCCTCCAGAAGCGTCTCACACACACGAGTGTGTCCCAGCGTCTGAGAGAACACCACAGGTTTCGTCTGACGTGACACACACTCGTTTATGATGGAGGGAAAAACAACCAGAAATTTCTCCCAAAAAAAAACCCTCAGTGAGTCTGGTGACCTTTGAAGGATAAAGCCGTGGATAATCATCAGAGAGCACAAACAAGCACACACAGATCTTACACAGTCAAACCAAACATCATTCAGACACCAGATTTCATGTTTACTAGTGTGTTTGCAGGACACTATAGTTCATTAAACTGTGACATATTACACCCAACAATTCTTCATAGTATACAGTGTAAAATATATACAAATTTGTGATCAAAACTTATTGCTCCACCTTGAGCTGCTGATGATATATATATATTACTCACTTTTAGTTTATGTTAGTTAATGCATTAACTAATGTTAGTAAATGAGACCTTATTGTGAAGCATCACCAAAATAATAATGCTGATCATATTCAACAGGTTTACCTGATAAGACTGTGAATATAGCGGCAAAGGCATTCAGCTTCAGTCCATCAATGACATTCCCGAAATGGCAGACCTCTATAGACATGAGGATTCCTCCGGTGGCCAGAAGTAAAATATAGAGACACTCGGCCGCGATGCAGAGCCACAACACACCTGAGGATTCGGGAGAGAAACGAGGGAGTCAAAGAGGGAATAAAGGATGGTTTTATCAGGAAGAGGATGAAGCCGCTAATTAAGACGGCACTTACCCTAGCAATAACAAAAGCATCCGGGGGCACATTAGTTGGTTTGCATCAATGGTATATTATTTTATTACGTGCACTTTCAGCTTCATGAACAGGCAGCTCAACATAGAAATAATCCAACCAATAGGCTAACTAGACCTGATATAGTCCAGCTATGAGTAGGTTAACTATAGACCCGATATAGTCCAGCTATGAGTAGGTTAACTATAGACCCGATATAGTCCGGCTATGAGTAGGTTAACTATAGACCCGATATAGTCCAGTTATGAGTAGGTTAACTATAGACCCGATATAGTCCAGCTATGAGTAGGTTAACTATAGACCCGATATAGTCCAGTTATGAGTAGGTTAACTATAGACCCGATATAGTCCGGCTATGAGTAGGTTAACTATAGACCTGATATAGTCCAGCTGTGAGTAGGTTAACTATAGACCCAATATAGTCCGGCTATGAGTAGGTTAACTATAGACCCGATATAGTCCAGCTATGAGTAGGTTAACTATAGACCCGATATAGTCCGGCTATGAGTAGGTTAACTATAGACCCGATATAGTCCAGCTATGAGTAGGTTAACTATAGACCCGATATAGTCCAGCTATGAGTAGGTTAACTATAGACCCGATATAGTCCAGCTATGAGTAGGTTAACTATAGACCCGATATAGTCCGGCTATGAGTAGGTTAACTATAGACCCGATATAGTCCAGTTATGAGTAGGTTAACTAGACCTGATATAGTCCAGCTATGAGCAGGTTAACTATAGACCTGATATAGTCCAGCTATGAGTAGGTTAACTATAGACCCGATATAGTCCAGCTATGAGTAGGTTAACTATAGACCCGATATAGTCCAGCTATGAGTAGGTTAACTAGACCCGATATAGTCCGGCTATGAGTAGGTTAACTATAGACCCGATATAGTCCAGCTATGAGTAGGTTAACTATAGACCCGATATAGTCCAGCTATGAGTAGGTTAACTATAGACCCGATATAGTCCAGCTATGAGTAGGTTAACTATAGACCCGATATAGTCCAGCTATGAGTAGGTTAACTATAGACCCGATATAGTCCGGCTATGAGTAGGTTAACTATAGACCCGATATAGTCCGGCTATGAGTAGGTTAACTATAGACCCGATATAGTCCAGCTATGAGTAGGTTAACTATAGACCCGATATAGTCCAGCTATGAGTAGGTTAACTAGACCCGATATAGTCCAGCTATGAGTAGGTTAACTATAGACCTGATATAGTCCAGCTATGAGTAGGTTAACTATAGACCCGATATAGTCCAGCTATGAGTAGGTTAACTATAGACCCGATATAGTCCAGCTATGAGTAGGTTAACTATAGACCCGATATAGTCCAGCTATGAGTAGGTTAACTATAGACCCGATATAGTCCAGCTATGAGTAGGTTAACTATAGACCCGATATAGTCCAGCTATGAGTAGGTTAACTATAGACCCGATATAGTCCAGCTATGAGTAGGTTAACTATAGACCCGATATAGTCCAGCTATGAGTAGGTTAACTATAGACCCGATATAGTCCAGCTATGAGTAGGTTAACTATAGACCCGATATAGTCCAGCTATGAGTAGGTTAACTATAGACCCGATATAGTCCGGCTATGAGTAGGTTAACTATAGACCCGATATAGTCCAGCTATGAGTAGGTTAACTATAGACCCGATATAGTCCAGCTATGAGTAGGTTAACTATAGACCCGATATAGTCCAGCTATGAGTAGGTTAACTATAGACCCGATATAGTCCAGCTATGAGTAGGTTAACTATAGACCCGATATAGTCCAGCTATGAGTAGGTTAACTATAGACCCGATATAGTCCAGCTATGAGTAGGTTAACTATAGACCCGATATAGTCCAGCTATGAGTAGGTTAACTATAGACCCGATATAGTCCAGCTATGAGTAGGTTAACTATAGACCCGATATAGTCCAGCTATGAGTAGGTTAACTATAGACCCGATATAGTCCAGCTATGAGTAGGTTAACTATAGACCCGATATAGTCCAGCTATGAGTAGGTTAACTATAGACCCGATATAGTCCAGCTATGAGTAGGTTAACTATAGACCCGATATAGTCCAGCTATGAGTAGGTTAACTATAGACCCGATATAGTCCAGCTATGAGTAGGTTAACTATAGACCCGATATAGTCCAGCTATGAGTAGGTTAACTATAGACCCGATATAGTCCAGCTATGAGTAGGTTAACTATAGACCCGATATAGTCCAGCTATGAGTAGGTTAACTATAGACCCGATATAGTCCAGCTATGAGTAGGTTAACTATAGACCCGATATAGTCCAGCTATGAGTAGGTTAACTATAGACCCGATATAGTCCAGCTATGAGTAGGTTAACTATAGACCCGATATAGTCCAGCTATGAGTAGGTTAACTATAGACCCGATATAGTCCAGCTATGAGTAGGTTAACTATAGACCCGATACCCGATATAGTCCAGCTATGAGTAGGTTAACTATAGACCCGATATAGTCCAGCTATGAGTAGGTTAACTATAGACCCGATATAGTCCAGCTATGAGTAGGTTAACTATAGACCCGATATAGTCCAGCTATGAGTAGGTTAACTATAGACCCGATATAGTCCAGCTATGAGTAGGTTAACTATAGACCCGATATAGTCCAGCTATGAGTAGGTTAACTATAGACCCGATATAGTCCAGCTATGAGTAGGTTAACTATAGACCCGATATAGTCCAGCTATGAGTAGGTTAACTATAGACCCGATATAGTCCAGCTATGAGTAGGTTAACTATAGACCCGATATAGTCCAGCTATGAGTAGGTTAACTATAGACCCGATATAGTCCAGCTATGAGTAGGTTAACTATAGACCCGATATAGTCCAGCTATGAGTAGGTTAACTATAGACCCGATATAGTCCAGCTATGAGTAGGTTAACTATAGACCCGATATAGTCCAGCTATGAGTAGGTTAACTATAGACCCGATATAGTCCAGCTATGAGTAGGTTAACTATAGACCCGATATAGTCCAGCTATGAGTAGGTTAACTATAGACCCGATATAGTCCAGCTATGAGTAGGTTAACTATAGACCCGATATAGTCCAGCTATGAGTAGGTTAACTATAGACCCGATATAGTCCAGCTATGAGTAGGTTAACTATAGACCCGATATAGTCCAGCTATGAGTAGGTTAACTATAGACCCGATATAGTCCAGCTATGAGTAACACACTTCTAGCCAAAATAACCTTGAATTTGGTTACATGTTGTTTTTTGCCAAAATAACTTGCGAGATGTATGATACTCCATCATGTAAGTAAACAGTGATTAGAAGGTTTTTTCTTTCATTTCGTCACTCATTTAATTTCTGGTTTAGACGTCTATTAAATTTTCATTGACAACCCATATTGTGCCTAGTTTTAGTCTAGACGTCAGGATGTGTTTGGACGGCTATTAGACGTTTTTTTTTTTTTAAATGCAAAATTGCTTGCTCACGGGGAGCGTATGAAATATTGAAAAACACTTGACACAGAGATTTGAAAGCATGCGGATACATGTACATATTTTATCGACTTCACCGAAACGTTTCATGCTGTCACATGTGTGGAAGTAAAAGAATGCCAAATGTTTTTGAGACAAAAAGGCATGTTTGAAAAAGATATGCATTGCATTAGCCATGCTTGCATTTTAAAGCATTGTATTTTAGGGCTGGGATTTTAATAATTAAATGTTTTGAATATTCACAGCTTAAATATACAACCATGTTGAATTTCAGCCCCTACAAATGCAATGCAATACAATATTTTTGTTGGAAACCGTGATGCTTTTAATTTTTCCGGATTCTTTGATGAATAGAACGTTTTATTTGAGATATTATTTTTGATTAATTTAATGCATCCTTCCTGAAAAAAAAATAGAATACTTTCTTAAACTAAACAACGAAACTGCTTCCAATATGCAGAAAACCCCATCATAACATCAGATACTGGCATTAAAACAGCATCAATGTTTTAAAAACCACATAAAAAACAAAATTAAAAAGTATTTTCCCGTTTCTTCAATCATGGACACTGCTCTTTGTCATTGACCCATATATTTCCCACACACTGACTAAAGCATGATAATGCATACGCACAGACTTGCTCATCAATAGCACTGAGACTATACACTAGAAGAAAATACATGCATTTCATTTCCAGGGAACTTTATCTCTGCGTTCAGTGCAGAACGTTGAATTACAGTGTGAAGTCGGGATGTCGTGATTAACTATCATTGCAGCTGACGGATCTTTTGTGTATCTGTCAATTATCCTGGAAACTATTGTGCTAAAGATGCTGGCGCTGAGCGGACACGCTCGTATATCTCGATGAATGAGAACGAGGCAGGTGTGCGGGCTTGATTAAAAATGACTGGACCTCCAGACACGAGCCACATATCTCATACAGGAGAACCGCGTTCATTAATATTCACAACATCATGCAGAATCTCAGTTGGTAATTAAGAATGACAGAACGAACCTCTCTCGTGGGGAGGAGCGACGTTTATGAAGCTTCTGCATCTCTCACCTGCATTTAGGAAAAAAGACAGTGAATACATTAGTGTTCTGATTCAAAGCATTTTCAATGTTGTAAAAAAAATGTTGCTTACTATGGTCGGTTGTTAAAATTGGTCACACTTCAGATTAGTGTCCAATTATGACTATTAACTATGATTTTTGCATCAATAAACTCCTAATTTTTGCTTATTAATAGTTAGTAAGTTGTTGAGTTTAGGTATTGTAGGACTAAAGAATGTAGAATATGATCATGCAGAATATGTGCTTTATATGTACTAATAATCAGCCAATATCCTAATCCATGATATAAGCAACTAGTTAATAGTGACAATTGTACCTTAAACTAAAGTGTTAATCATACTGTATTATAAAACTATATTGTTTTGTGCATTAGATTGTTAATGTTGTCTGGAAATCATAATGCACTGAAAGGTAGCGTTTCATATTCCTCGTAATGTTGAATCAGAATCAGGTCCTCTTCTCTGATGATGTGGGCGGGGCTTTAACCTGTCACTCACATGAGATCAGCCAATAGCAAACCACAACCATCCAATCAGCTCCCCACAGACACAATCAAGCCCCGCCCACAGTTGTTCTCGTTCCAGAAGCGTTTCACTCGATATACGACACAATAGAGGAGAGATGAGCAGCGCAACTTCTTTTAATGCCTACATTCATACATGTTTCATTTATGCATTTTACTCTCATGATTGTAGTAATAATGTAGTTCAGTACTGTACAATATACACTCACCGGCCACTTTATTAGGTACACCTGTTCAACCCATTAACACAAATATCTAATCAGCCAATCACAGGGCAGCAACTGCTGGTGTGAGTGTTGCAGAAACTGATGATCTATGGGAGTTTCACACACAACCATCTCTGCGGTTGAAAATAGGAAATATCCAGTGTGTGAAAATGCCTGAAAAAGGTGATAGAAAGGCAACAGTATCTCAAATAATCACTCGTTACGACTACGCTTGGGGACTGAAAATCGATTCCAACTCTGGGATTGAATAGTTGAGGTCAGGAATCGGATACTTGGTATAAAATGTACATATTGATTCCTCTTATCAGATGATAAATCATGTCAATATAGACCAGAATATCTGAAAATGTTTCCAGCACTTTGTTGTAGTTCTGGGTGATGAAACGGTATCGGTATTTATCGACGGTAACGCTATAAAAAATGTTCGATACAGCGCTCGATATTTTCATTAAAATGCCAGGTCGCGTTGCTGTCGTGTTCGGTCGCGTCACCGCATTGACATCCCATATCTCGTACAGTTTTAGAGGTTTGTATTGTCGGATCCGTGCCATGAAGAATTAAAGCAGTTCTGAACATAAGAACGCCATTTCAAACTTTGACACAGTATTTTTACAGTAAGCTTTTGACAATTACCCGCTTTTTACTGTAAAATTAACAGAAAAGTGCAGTGTACTGTATAAATCTGTAAATATAAATAAATTTGTAATCCTTTTAAATAATAATACAAATACTTACTAAATAATACTAAATAATGTTTTTGTTTATTCAAAACAGTATCAAAGTAAATCATAAGAGGGGCAAAAAAATAGCCTATTACGGTAAAAAACCCAAAAACAAACGGTAACACATTACAGCATAATAACAGTAAATTATGCCTAATTACAAGTAACAAAACCCTAACTCTTTTGTTAATACATGTAGTTAATTAATATTACTCAGTACTCATTTGAGGACTATGTCACCTTAAAATAACCAATTATAATAAAATGAATGCACTATTCAAACAACTATGCAAAATTTATAATCCTTATAGTTACACGTTACTACATGTACTTACTATAACAGTAAATGATGCATTCAATAAACCAAATCCTAACCTTAACTCTTAGTAAGTACATGTAGCTAATTAATATCAGTATTTGAGGACTACGTCATCTGAAAATAAAGTGTGCAGTGAGAAATAAAAAATAGCCTATTCTTAAAAGAAATTATACAATAATTGTATTTTAAGATGATGTAATACTCAAATAAGTGCTGAGTGATATTAATAAGCTACATGTGCTTACTATAGAGTTAGGGATAGGGCTTGATTTAGGGTAGCCTACTTGTAATTATGCATAATTTATTGTTATTATGTCGTAACGTGGTAACCTTAAAATAAAATGTTACCTCGTCATAACAAATTATAATAAAGAAACACACTATTCCAACTTAATTCATTATTTACAAATAGGCTAACTAAGCCTAAACCAATCCAAATCACTAAATCTATTGTAAGCACATGCAGTTAATTAGTATTACTACTTATTTGAGTAATACATCACCTTAAAATGAAGTGTGTCCTATTATAATAAGAAACACGCACCTGCCAATTAGCCTATTACTTCATTATAATATACGAAACGAAACGAGATATTCTGTAAGAATAGAATAAGTCAAAAACAGAAATGTTAAAAAGCAACGCGCTTGAAAACACGTAAAACACGCAGTTCATTAATATCACTATTTGAGTGCGTCACCTTTTAATGAAGTGTAACCAATTATAATCAAATAAATTCGCACTATTCAAAGAACTACACAAAATGTATATTCCTAATCTGAATTTGACTGAATGATAAAGTGCACAGAAACAGGTCAGTGAGTCCAGTCTGTGAAAACCAGTCAAACACAGATCCTCACCTGTCAATCATAATTCATCATCACGAGGATGAATGGATGATGGATCGAGCAGAAACAGAAGTGTTGAAAAACACGTAAATGTTTGATGGGAAGAAAAGAAAAAGAAAAGCCATATCCTGGATTTTTGGATGGATAGAATTATTAATAAAATAAGCCAGAAACAGGAATGTTAAAAAGCAACCAGACTCGTCCAGTCGGTTTGCGCGCTTGGAAACACGTAAATGTTTGATGCGAAAAGCGGCCCAAAAACACGCGAAACGAGATTAATAACACCAGGGGATCAAGGGAAGAAAGTCCTTACCGACCAGGTCGACGTTCTGCTCGCAGGAGAACCAGATTCCGGTGTGGAACTTCCTCAGAACAAACTTGTCCTCTCCGGTCTCCCAGATGTACTGGACCCTCCGGCTGTCGGTGAGGTTCGAGCTGTTGTGTCGGATGCAGTGTGTGTGTTTGCCGGTCACCGGTCCGGTACAGAGGGGCTTGACAACTTTCCGGGTTCCCTCGCACCAGTAGCTGGTGGTGAGCGCGCATATCGCGAGCATCAGCGCGAGGAAGTTCAGGGTGAGCGCGAGCGAGCCTCTCCTCCGCCGGTCCATGCCCATGGTGAGAACGCCGAACACTGATCCAGAATCAGCTGAGGCTGAGAGAGAGAGAGAGAGAGAGAGTGAGAGCCAGCCGTAAACCTGGATCGTCACTTCAGTGCTGCGTGCTCGCGCGCGCGTTCCCCAGGCATTTCTGCACACTGCGCTCGTGCGCTGCTGTCGCGCGCTTCACTTCTCGTGTGATGTCAGTCAGAATCAATGAACGCAGTCAATCCTTAAAGGGTTAGTTAGTTCATCCAAAAATGATAAATCCTCCCACCATTTAGTCTCCTTCAAGCCATCCTAGGTGTGTGTGACTTTCCTCTCGCAGCCGAACACAACCAAATGATCAGGTTCTTCATAATGCCAGTGAATTTACCTGAGATTTTGAAGCCCACAAAAGCGTTTCTCGGGGAGTAACTTGCGTTACTTATTTGAAAAAGTAACTCAGATATTATTTTGCAATTATTAAAAAGTGATCGTCACACACGCGCTGCTCATGACAGGTGAATTGTGAGAAGCATCAGGATGAATCTAGGCCATATCGCGTTATGCACGGAGGACGAGGAGCAAAAATGTCATAATTTCAAGAAGATTGCAACGAAATCTTGCATTTTTGTTAGGAACATTCTAGCTGATTCATTTCAAAGCGCAAATGTTTGCTGTTTTCCAAAGTCATGAGGTTGTGGCAGAGTGTTTTATCACGTGGTACACGAAGGCCGCTGTGGAAAACAAACTGCTTCATTTTCGACCTAATTGATTTGTGTGTGTTGAGGCCAGCGGATCAATATCAGGCTGGGCTCTGGAGGATGAAGCCCTCGTCTGGACACGGACACCCAAGGCCAGGACACCTGAGAGATGATCAGATGATCAGCAGCACTGAAGGCTGACGATGAACGCCATCAGTCCTTTCCTCAGTCGCCTGTATTTTTTGAGGACAGGTTTGATGAAAGCCATGGCTTGTGTTTTGTGAATGCTTAACCTGGTGTGTGATTCGCCACACAGAACCGCTCTATACTGGAGACAGAACTGAGCTTTAAAATTGCCATCCAGGGTTATCATTGTCAACTATAGATCATGCACCACAAGGGCTGGATAAATATAAGACAGAACAAATTGGGTTAATTTAACCCAGCACAATGGGCTGTTTTATTTTTTATATATTAGCTTCCTTTTTTTTTTTTTTACTTCATACATGAATTAATGTTTACGGATTAAATCCTTAAAACCTTTTTAAAAATATTCCACACGACCACTGGTTTGTTGGTTTCTGTCATCTTTTAAAGTATAGCATATTTTATATAGTTTTGAATAGATATTGCCAACATTTAAGCTCCTTTAACAAATATAAGAAGTAAAAATTCACCATTGAGAAGTAACTCGATTGTAATGGACCAGTCTCTGCTGTCCCGTTCTCACCGTAACGGCGCTGGATCTCGTGCCGGAGCTTGGAGAGCTGACTCACTCACATCACACCCATGTATGTTGCTTTGCAGAAAATTAAACGATATTCAGCACAAACATTTATTTATAGATAAAATAAAATGTACACCATCCTGTATTTTACCAAAGACATGCAAAAATTTGACAGAGATACCACAAAAAATATCTAAAAACCCTGGGTTGTTACGTCTGACCAGGGATCTGGGTTACACAAAAACTACCCAAACACTGGGTTGTTACGTCTGACCCAGGATCTGGGTTACACAAAAACTACCCAAACACTGGGTTGTTACGACTGACCCAGGATCTGGGTTACACAAAAACTACCCAAACACTGGGTTGTTACGACTGACCCAGGATCTGGGTTACACAAAAACTACCCAAACACTGAGTTGTTACATCTGACCCAGGACCTGGGTAACACAAAAAGTACCCAAACACTGGGTTGTTACGTCTGAACCAAGATCTGGGTAGCACAAAAATTGGGTTATATCTGACCCAGGATCTGGGTAACACAAAAACTACCCAAACACTGGGTTGTTACGTCTGACCCATGATCTGGGTTACACAAACACTACTCAAACACTGAGTTGTTACGTCTGAACCAAGATCTGGGTAGCACAAAAACTGGGTTATATGTGACCCAGGAGCTGGATTGCACAAAAACTACCCAAACTGAAAAAATAACCCCAAAAAATGATCTAAAAGGCACAACCCAGGATTTGGTAAGAAAAAAAAATACTTTTTAGAGTCTGAAAGCATTATTCAAGACATTTCTCCTTATATAGAATCTCAAGAATCCTCTTTTCTATATTGAACCCCATTGCAGCTTTTATTCTGCGAGTATAGTATGGGAATGATGGTGAGATAACTCTGTTGTTCATCATTGGGTTGATGTATCTGTGGCCTAGAGAGCAAAAGGCCAGGAGAGAGCGAACTCTATCAGCGAGAAGAATGTCCCAGTTAGATCATGCTTTACCTCACCCTCGGGAAATCACACACACATCACGAGGAGACGTGGCTTGGACAAAGCTTGGAAGGTTTACACACATACAGATACACATACACACTCTAAAAACGCAGGGTTGTTTTAACCCAAATTTGAGTCAAATATTGACAAACCCAACCATTGGGTTAAAAATGTCATTTAGAAATGTAACCCAAAGGCTGCTGGGTTGTCCCTATCTATTTGACCCAAATTTGGGTTGAAAAAACCCAGCATTTTTTTTATTTTTATTTTTTTTTGGTGAAAAGCAATTGTTTTTGAAGATAACAGACAACAAAACTGAACATTTATAAATGGTAAATCTTGAATATTTTAAGATCTTTGGGACAGTTATTTGGTTAATTAGGTGCAGCTTAGCATTCTGTTACTATCACCCATAGCAGGTACTTAGGCTAATGAAGAGATATGGTTTATAAACAGACTTAATTTAGACAGAATGATGACAGAATTTTCATTTTTGGAAGAACAATCCCTTTACTATGGAAAGCTGAAGTAGGTGTGTATGCGATTCTTCACATTTTTTTATTCTAATAATTATTGCATTAGATCCAGTTCTCATAAGAGTCCCAAGGGTATGTCAGATTTTGGTAAATGTGCTTTTTCTTTTTATGCTCCTTGGGCTTGGAATGAATTGCAAAATGTAAATAATCTATGAGCATTTTTTACATGCATTTTGGACAAAGATTTAAAGCGAGCAGAATGTTTTCTTGATTATATTTATTAATTTCGAATGAGTAATCTGTGGCATTGTTATTTGGTGTCTCTCTCTGCATGAAACTCTATGACCAGTCTCTCTGGAAGAAGAGATAATAATATCTCAATGGGATTTCCTGGCTAAATAAAGGATAGATGCATTTAGTTTTCCAGTGTTTGTTTCCACCGCCTCCACCGGGTTTGTTTGCTGTATTTGTGTTTTCACAGCAAGTATACCTCTCTGAGGAATGAGAAAGCTGGATGACAGAATTCTGTGAAATAACAGAACCTACTTTTCCACCAATCTTCACAAAAAAATAATCTTTGAGTCCTTTTGTGTGCTTGAATGCAGACGGAGCGCAGAAACGTTACCGCATTCTTTAATTGTCGGCTATTATAAAATTTCCACTTTACATTTGGCTGACGCTTTTATCCAAAGCGACTTACACTTGCTATATATGTCAGAGGTCGCACGCCTCTGGGTCAACTAGGGGTTAAGTGTCTTGCTCAGGGACACATTGGTGTCTCACAGTGGATTCGAACCCGGGTCTCTCACACCAAAGGCATGTGTCTTATCCACTGCGCCACCACTAAAGCAGATATTAGTACTTCAATAGGTCGATAAATTAACATCATATTAGATAATGAAAAGGTTTATTTACTGTAAATTTAGGTTAAGTCTGTAAATTACTGTAAATTAATTGTTACCGTAAATTCTGTCAACCACAGCTACCGTTTTTTTACCGCTTTACAGTGAAGCTTCAAAGTGTGTTTCACACAAACACCATCATGCTAACACGCATGACATTTTAAAAATGCTATAAACATTCATTTAACAACATTAAATGTAACATAAATAACTGACTTTAAAAAATGATGAAGAAAGACATCGAATATGAAGTGTCACGCAGGGAATGTCATGTTCATGACTTCTTTTTCACTTCCAAAAACTGTAAATTTAACAGTATTTTACTGTAAAATGTCCTGATCTATCTGTGATCTATTACAGTTATTCACCGTATATAGTATGTTAACTTGCTGTTAACCAATTAACAGTTTATCACCGTGGTATTTCTTTTACCGTTAAAATCACGCTCATTTTTTACCGTTTTCTTCTCACTGGTTCTGAGCGTTTGCTGTGTCACACACACACACACACACTCTTCCGTGCCGAGACGAGGTGGAGGTCAGAAAGTCCACAGTGTCCTTCATGCTCACGTCCAGATAATGAGATGATGCTGCCGCTTCATAACGTCCGTCCAAGGTCACAGCCAGAGCGGAGAGAACACATCACGGCTGAATAATGCAGATTTTCTCATCACTGGTCGGGAAGTGAACTTCCATCAGAAAAGCCGTATTGTGTAATTGCATATCTGCGCTGAAGCTCTGATTAACTGAGTCCCCTAAAGGCACAAGTGCATTATTTACTCGTTAACTTTGACATCTGCAGCTCACAGTTGTGTCTCCTTCACAGCAAGCTCATTATTACGTCCCGCTATCATAGAAGCTCATTACAATAAGTATGCGATTTATCAATCTTAGGAATGGCGAGTTACAATTACAAGATGGCCTCGGAGAATGCGGAGAAACTGAATTTAAGCTTGGATTTCATTCCATCGCAGATGCCTAATGGCTTAAGGTTACTAATCTGAATATGATTTATGAGTCTCAGAGAAACCGCAAGGACGTGTTTCTGTTTTTAAAGCAAAGTTTGAGTGTGTGAAGCTTCAGCGGGCCTCAGGTGGCCGAACACACTTCCCAATCACTTCACGGATATCATACCGGCGGGAATGAAAAGACTTGTCTTTATATATCAAGGAAGGAGTGTAATATCACAGGGACGCTCGGGGAATGCACTGATACAGCACGCGAAAGAGGATTTTAAACATTATGCATGTACATTAACAATACTTGTTT